AAATGTCCTCCCGGCCCCGACTGGCGACCGAGCAAAGCTCAGGAGCAACTGTCCTTTTCCGACGCTGGGTAGCGATACCGATGTTAGATATTAACAAATAACAGGTGAATATTTCACAAGGTCTGGAAGACAAGTGAAAGTACCAGCAAGGTATAAAGACTGAACATATGTGTGATGTTCATATACACACAATGCTCTCAATCTGTAGAATTCTGTAAATGAGATACTGTTAAAACAGTTATATTCTATTACAGAACTGTTCAGTTAATGTCTTTATGTGCATACTGATGTGCATGATTTATTATGAGAGTTTTATATGCATATGCATACATACAGATTCTGTCTGTTCTGAGAAGTGTTTTTTTTTAAACTAAAGAAAGGGGATGTAATGTACCTAACGGGCAACCGTAGTTGATGACGTCAGTAAAGGGGACGACATTATTTATAAAGTGGTTCCGAGCAAGCAAAAAAAAAAAAGTGGTTCCGAGCACAGCACATGGTCGTACGCCTGTCTTTCCATATTCAGTTAGGGAACATTACACTGACATAAAACAAAGGACATACAACATACAAAACAGGGAAATAAATCGTAATCATTAAGTGCCAAAAAAATAATACAAAGCCCAACGAGGTATAAAATGCTTCTTTAATTGGCAGAACGGGTCAATTGACATCATGAAGGCTTATTCACTCTTATTTCAACTAGAGGAACTGGAGAGAAACTATTCAAAGTGATTACAAAGGCTAAATGGCACAAATCTATGGCGAACCTCGCATTTTAGGGCGCTTCCGTAAAAGTCCTCTTTGAGATGTATTTGCGTTGCAGTTCTACCGTGATATTTAAGCTCTACAATACTGACAGGCGACTGCATTTTCATCCACTTCTAACGATAAATGCTTCCACATTGGCAAGTAATGGAGAAGGAATTTTTTATTCGATACTTTAGCAAACGAATAATTGTGACAGATCAAATCGATTCTTGTGTTGAAGTGGAATGGACAGGAAAGCACGTTACAATTTAACATACAAGCATGCTTAACCGCAGAAACGGAGTTCAGCCAGACTAAACTAATGACTTTTGTAAAGCCTCATATATTGCCAACAGGACTGGGGCATGTTAACTATATGGGTGGACTTCAAACGTGATCCATTGTGTTTAAGGTATTCATCATTTGTGAAAGATCTGGACGAAACATTAAACGCCTTAAGATAAAGATCTTTCCCACAGTACTTCATGTAAACATGTTGCTGTAAGTAAGCCTTCCAATTACGCATAATTTGTAAACCAATAACCATCAAGTGAACTCAAATTACTAATTTTTGTCATTCCTAATTTAGCATACAACCACAATACGAAACCGCGTAAGCGCGAAAAATTTCACAACGGCGTTTGCTCTCTTCCGACTTTATAGGTGGCTCTTAAAAGAGCCTTTGGTTTACTTTTGCAAAACGGCAGAGGCTTTACTTGGAGCTGGTGTACTTGGTGACCGCCTTGGTTCCCTCAGACACGGCGTGCTTGGCCAGTTCGCCAGGAAGCAGAAGGCGCACGGCTGTCTGGATCTCCCTAGAAGTGATGGTGGAGCGCTTGTTGTAGTGAGCCAGGCGGGACGCCTCACCAGCGATACGCTCGAAGATATCATTGACGAAAGAATTCATGATACCCATGGCCTTGGAAGAAATACCCGTGTCCGGATGAACCTGCTTCAGGACCTTGTACACGTAAATGGCGTAGCTCTCCTTCCTGGACCTCTTGCGCTTCTTTCCCCCTTTTCCGGCAGTCTTCGTCACTGCCTTCTTCGAGCCCTTCTTGGGCGCAGACTTCGCTGGCTCAGGCATATCTTCTCTCTATTGTAACACAAAAAGAATGACTCTCCGCTTTTACTCGACCTCCTTATATTTAGGCTATATGTAAATTAGGCAGGGATCGTGAAGAACACTACTGGGCGCTGAAAGACCGCCCGATAGCATTCAAATTCTATTGGCTCAGATCTGCTACTATCGCGAAACCCCTCTCTTACACATGAAGCTTGTGCCGAGTAGAAAAAAATACAAGCATTTTACATTCACCCCTCAAATTGAGAAGCGGATTAGCTCCTACCCCCAACTCAGTTAGGTTAGCAAGCACCACAGAACAAAATGCAACGTCAATCTGTATACTAGTTTCATGAAGTAGTCCGAATTGTTTTTTGTCTTTCTTTCAAGACGTTGCTGCGAGTCGACAGCAGCGTTAATTCATTCATTTCTGTGGAATTACTGTATTAAAACTAGTGATAAACCTCTTGAATATTGAGTAGTTAGTTAACCTTGCCGGATGGTTAAAACTAGAGGAAGATAATGTTTGAGGAAGTTATAGTGAGATACTTGGTCACGAAACACGCATGGCATACACCGAACTAGTTTTTGCTTTTTTAGGACAAAGTGGGTGGCTCTGAAAAGAGCCTTTGGGTCTTTAGATTTCCTCGCTGTAGCTTTCACGCTTAGCCGCCGAAGCCGTACAGAGTGCGGCCCTGACGCTTGAGAGCGTACACAACATCCATGGCGGTGACGGTCTTCCTCTTGGCGTGCTCGGTGTAGGTAACGGCGTCGCGAATGACGTTCTCCAGAAACACCTTCAGCACGCCACGGGTTTCTTCGTAGATCAGACCGGAGATACGCTTGACGCCACCTCGGCGGGCAAGACGACGAATAGCCGGCTTGGTAATACCCTGGATGTTGTCGCGAAGGACTTTACGATGGCGCTTAGCGCCACCCTTTCCAAGCCCCTTACCTCCCTTTCCTCGACCAGACATGATCACTTATGGATTCTAAACGACAGAATTATAAAGTCGTTGCCCTCCATGTTTTGTTATATACGTAAGTACTACCTGATTGAAACCATGGAGCAACTTCAGGCCGATTGGTCGCCTCCGCCCACTCGTTTTTCTGCAAACGGTTCCGTATCTCTTTATACTTGGTGGTTTTTGCGTTGTTTCAACTTCTTATCTGTGTTTGCTTTCAAAATTATTGTTGTTATTATTATTACTACACTTTTGGATCTACAAGGAATATTTTTTTTTAGAAAATGCTGGAGCACATGATTCTGGCCTTTTAAACATTTTATGCTTCTGGAGAAACAGCTGGAAAATGAAAGACATGTGGAGACTAGGAAGTCTTCTGCCCAAGCACATGGAGGACATGTATCCATAAAAAGAGCTACAAAGTACTGCAGGAAGTAGATTTAGTTGTAAATTATCGGTCCATTTCAAGGCTGTGTAGAATGTTAGGCCGTTCCCAACACCAAGGAGCACGTAACACACCTGACCTAGGTCATGTCCACTTCTTTCTTTGCTTTTCAAAATCTGATACAACCTTCTATATCTTTTTGTTTCCAAAATGTTGAGGCCTTCTCACCTCACAAAGGAACGTGGTTTTTTTTTTTGCATAACAATGCATGATGACATTTAGCTAATGCTGCAGATGAAGTAATTTTAAATATACTGTCTAAAAATACAGCTAATTGGCAGGGATCAAATTGCAATATTCAGCAAGTAAATATTCGACTAACCTTAAAAACCTTGCAGACCATCTGATTTATTATTATAGTTAATAGATTTATTATCAAATGCCTGTTTGTCAGTAAAATATTTCTTCTTCTTTTGGCTGATCCTGTTAGGGGTTACCACAGTGGATAATCTGTTTACATTTCTTCCTGTCCTCTATATCTTCCTCTTTCACACCTGCCACCTGCATGTCCTCTCTCACCAGATCTATAAACCTCCCTTAGCCTTCCTCTCTTCCTCTTGCCTGGCAGCTCTATCCTCAGCATCCTTCGCTCCACATAACCAGTATCTCTCTTCTGTACGTGTCCAAACCAACACAATCTCGCCTCTCTGGCTTTGACTCCTTCAGTCCTCTAAACTTCTCTATCAACACCCTCAGAGCAAACATTACATCTGTAGTGTCTCTCCCACCTTCAACGACGACTCCAGCCATGCAGAATTCCCTTATTCCTGAAAATCATTACCAGTGTACTTCTTCTCCACCTTGCAGACATTCTCTCACTTTTCAAGATGGCGTTGAACAAACTGGTTACAAACTTCCACCGCCATCTCACCTAAACACCTCCATGCTTCCACAGGTATCTCATCTGGCCCTCAGCCTTTCCACCCTTCATCCTTGTCATTGCTGTCCTTGCTTCCTTCCTGCTTACCCTCTGCACTTCCAGATTCACCATCTCCACCTCATCCAAACTGCTCTCACTCTCATTCTCTTCATTCATCAGCCACTCAAAGTACTCCATCCATCTCACTCTCTCTCTTCATTCATCAGCCACTCAAAGTACTCCATCCATCTGCTCAACACACTCTTCTCACTTGTGAGTATGTTTCCATCATTACCCTTTATCACCCTAAGCTAGTGCACATCTTTCCCAGCTCCATCCCTCTGCCAAAGCTCAAAGCCCCAAGATAGGAACCTCTGAGTTTTGAACTCAGATCACTGGATTCAGTGCCCAAACCACTATTACCCCATGGAACTAGAAAACACATTGTACCAACTGAAGCCAAGACCACACCACCTATCTGCCCCAGGACACACTTCACATAGTGATGGTAAGCACCCCACAAACCTTGCCATGTCGGAGGTCTTGCAGAGTCCTCTGGCCATAATAATTTGGCATTCGTCAAAGTCACTCAGATCTTTAGCCCTGTCCATTCCACATGGATTCACCATGTTGACTACAAGTCATGAATGTCAGATTTATTCACTTTGCGTGGGGCTGGGTGTGTTTGTGGCGTTGTTGGTTTGAGCGAGTAGTTTGGCGATTATTATTATTTGAAGTCCAATTGTATTAATGAAATAGGTTAGCAGTTTGTGTGATTTAGGCATAAGTATAGTGAGGGACATATAGTAGGTGAAATATCAAGGTTTTGCTTAGATTCAGTTAGAAACTGAATCAGTACGCATAGACACATAGATTACATATACATATATCAACATTGCTAACATACAAAAAGACTAGAGATTAATCTAGAAATTACTGACAATGAATCCAAGGACTCGCATGTTTTAAAACAATGAGTCCCAAGTTGTAAAATATGGGAAAAAATCTAAAAATATAAGAGCAAAATATATAACTACAGAACTTTATTTTCAGTGTAAATGCAGCACCTTTTAAAAACAAAAATCAAACACATTTTTGGACAAGAAGAATATCTGTCATTCAGATTAACACTGATAGCACCTGCAGTGGTCAGGAAGGTCAGTGTCTAGTGTTGGAGTCTGAACTCCGCCGGGTCCGTTGATGAGAAGAGATTCACCGCACAGTCGAGGAGTAGTTGCAAGTTACCAGTTTATTCTCTCTCAGATTGCAATCTGGGAGCAAACACCCGACATACATTCAGCATGTACAGGAAGATGCTCGACCCTCATGGGTCGGTTCTAGACTTTTATAGGCCTTTTGGGGTGTGGCCCCCCTTCTTCTGTACTTTTCCATCTACATGATTACAACATATAGTGACTTTTGTTCTAGTTAGTGAGTACGTGTGCCCCCCTTTATGTCAAGCAAGGTTAATATAAGCATCGGCTAATTTATGAGTTCCTGTTTTGCTAGAGCGGGGTCGTCTTGCCATAACCACCCTCTGTCAGTTCCTGATTTCCTCCAACTGCTTGGTGTGCAGCCCCCTTGCCCTAGTATCGGTTCCCATGTCTAGTTTCTTCATTGGGTTAAAGGCCATTGGATTATAAATTTATTAGTTGCATTCCAAGCTGAGCATCCCTTCACTAGCAAGAGTGCTATTTTGAAAGTTTCTGTTTTTGGCTCATTCCACGCCGTACGCTATTTTCCTCAAGTCTGGCCTTTACCCGCTTGCTTCTACGTACCGAAGCCTGCTTTACCTGGATAGCCATTGGGATTGAAACTCGCGGATTTTTTGTTTCATTATTGTTTAAATCCGTTGTTAATGTTTCTGGCGATGGACTGGCCAGTGTACTATAGAAAGTAAGTTTCCGTTGCGAAGGATCCGCGGCATCCTGGCCGTTCAGCATACGGGCAACTAAAATGAAGCGTGCCGAAGTAATCGACACTACAGCGAATTCGATTGTCAAATATCTTGTTACATTGCCGAGGACAACCAGTGTCGATATGAAATAAGCACAGCGAAATAGAGCGATAGGTTTTAGACAACCAATTTCTGTTGCTTTCTACTATTTTTGTCATTCCTAATTTAGCATACAATCACAATACGAAACCGCGTAAGCGCGAAAAGCTTTTCGTCCTATAGAGAAAGAATGCGTCATGGATGCAGGACGTACATCTAGATTAATCTCTGAAAGACTAACCTCATTCGCTAATTAATTACTATGCATGCACACTCGATACTCGGATGGTATGTAAATACAGAAATTATGTTTTAAGAATACACAATGGGAACAAATAACCTCAATAAAGACCCAATTTAGGTTTTGATTAACTGTATTACCTGGGGGAAATTCTGATGCATGCAAACATGCAAATAATACCAAACAGACAAGCAACAAAGAATGTACACATGGTGCAAGCAAAGTAAACATAGTGCAGCAGATTTTAAAACTGCATGGTACACAAACAGATAAAATCTTGAGCAGCAGAATGGGAGACTAAACGTGAATATTTAAAGATAATCAAATAAATTAAGCGCAGTAGAGTTATAACGAGAGTGAGGATGCTTCCTGACGTATTATGGCTAGGGATACATCTGGAGAAAGTGAGATGTCGGCCGCCAGTTATCTGACGGCTTCGGACAGCGATAATCCCCAGTAGTTTTTTTTAGCACAGCATATTGAAATGAACTGATGGCCAAATATGCTCCATTATAGAGGCCACTTAAGTGGACGGGCAGATCTGTTCATAATCACACACAAGAAACCAAATAAAGCAGAGGGAAAATCTAGCGCTTCTGTGATGTTTGAGGTGGCTCTTAAAAGAGCCTTTGTTTTGGTTTAGACGTAAAACCAGATTATGCACGTTCACCACGGATACGGCGAGCCAGCTGAATATCTTTAGGCATGATGGTGACTCGCTTGGCATGAATG